GCCGAGCCCCCCGGGGACACTGACCTGCAGGTGTCCCAGGTGGCCACCACGGGCCCGGCCAGGGCCAGCAGCACGAGCAGCCCCAGCAAAGCCATCGGTGCCAGCGCAGGTGGCAGAGGCAGAGCCGAGGTGTCACCTCTGGTGCCCACGGCCCTGGCGGTGCCACCAGGCCGGGCTGATGTCACAGAGGGGTGGCACAGAGTCCTGGAACCTTGGAATGGTTTGGGTGGGAGGGACCTGAACGACGGCGCGGGGCTCCCAATGAAATCCGAATTAAACGTAAATGCACCCGCAAATAATTAATCATTGCTGATTGTTCCTTTTGTCTTGTTGCTTCATTAGCTGTAATTTATAATGTCTAAATATTTATTACATGAACTTTAAATATTTATAATATTTGTATCATAAAGATTTAAAATTTATTTATATGTTAATAATATATTGGTGGTAATTAATAATTATAGTAATAATTGGTGGTAATTAATAATGATATTGGTGGTAATCTCGGTGTAGCATTATGGTGTTAATTACCACTAATAGGACTACAAAACTTCATTAATGCAAATTATTCCTTATTTTAATATAATAATTTTCATATTTATTATTGCTAATAATGATATAATGTAATAGTATAAATTATCAATAATCTCAATATCAATAATATCTATATATTTATATAATAATATATATATTGATACTATAAAATAGACTATATCGAATAATTTGTGTCAGTTATATAATGTCATAATATCAATATATATGATTTCAAATAAATTGCGCTAATTATTGTATATATTTATTATAATATGTTTTGCATTGTATTTGTACTTATTATTCATATCCTCTTATATTATAATATATTATGTATATAATTTATTTTATATAGTATTAAATTGTCTATATGTATATTATCATATTTATTATCTTTTATTTTTATTATTATTTATTATTTTATTATTTGTTATAGTATATATTCATATTATTTTATTATTTATTTTTATATAATTTCAAGAGCCACTTTATAGATAATTATATACATAATATAATTATATATAGAAATAATATCATATATATAAATAATTATATAAAACGCGTAATTTTTCCACATCCTTTACACAACGCAAATTCATTTGCATAAATTACTAAATCCTACACTCGCTTTTAATACAATAAAACATAAACTTACAATAAATTGTATGGACACCTCGTATGAAATATCGTAATAACGAACGGGATGGGACCTTGTCCTGCATTTCCCGTTCTGGGCGGGGATGGGCACAGCTGGCAGGGGCACAGCTGGCAGGGGCACAGCTGGCAGGGGCACAGCCAGGTGAGTCACAGCTGGCAGGGGAACACCTGAGTCACAGCTGGCAGGGGCACAGCCAGGTGAGTCATAGCTGGCAGGGGCACAGCTGGACGCGGCCCAGCCGGGCAGGGGCAC